AAAGATATAGATAAAGAGATAGGTTATATAAATATAATAAGAAATAATAAAAACAATAAGATATAAGATAATAAGCACTTAAAAAAGAAAATAGGTTATATAAACTATATAGATTAATAGTAGTTAAATCTATTTAACGTAGGTATATACCTCTAATAGCTATAGCTAAAGAAAAAATACACCTAAACAAGATAGTATAAGCCTACCTTTACTAAGTAAATAGATAAATAAATTTATAGTAGTATATAACTATAAAAAGTGTAATACTTTTGCTCTTCTTGTTTTTATTACGTTTTTAGGCTTTTTAGGAAAAATAAGAGCACTAGTAACTTTTACTACACAAGAAAGTTACTAATGTTAGTATATAGGTAATATAGCTAAAGGCAGTAGGTTATATAATACACTGCCTACTAGTAGAATCCTTACTTTTGCCTATATATAAGGGTACTACTACACTTATACTCCTACTTTACCTTGTTAACTAGTTAACTATTAATAACTATAAATTTAACTACTTTTTCTTAACCTTTATAATATTATAAGATATAGGATCCTATTAATTAGCTAGTAAAAACTAATAATTACAAAGGTAAAAACCTACTAGTAAGTAACTTATAACTACTATTATAAAGAAAATCTTTAGATAAATTTATTAACCTTTAACCTTTGCCTATTAATATTATTACTTAATAATAGTAACTTTAGATTAATTAGTATATAAATAGATAATATAATTAGCCTTATAGATAGTAAATTCTCTACTTATAAAGAGAAGAAGCTTAAGAAGGCTACTTTTATAGTAAAACCTAAGTAGTTACTTATAACTAATAACTTTATTACTTTTAATAGTAGTATATTATCTATTATTACTAACAGTAAGCTTACCTTTTACTAGAAAGGCTAAGGTAAAAAGCTCTAACTTATTAATAAGAAATTACCTACTACTTAGTAAGATTATATCTAGTAATACGCCTATAGTGTATATATTACTTCTATTTATTAACCTAAAGCTTACTTTAACTATTTAGTTATTACTTAATACTAATTACCTATAGTAAAGGAGATTAAAGCTTTAAACTACTATATTAAATAGTAAATTAGTAACCTTAACTATAGCCTATAATTCTTACTAATTAACCTTATAACTACTAAGCTCTTTATATTTATTAATAGCTTATTTATAAATAACTATAACTTTACCTCTTAACTTAGCTTTATTATAGTTTTTATTAATAAATAAATCATTAAGTAACTTACTACTAATAGTAAAAGCTTTAAGTTAACTAGTAATATTATTTACTTTAGTTTAATAAAGTATAAGAGAGTTATATATAGTATACTTACCTCTAAGGTCTATAGGATAGTTACTAGCGCTAACGTTACTTATATAATTAGTACTACTCTTATAATAATTACTAACTACCTTAAACTACTATAAATACCTATAATACTTTATACTAACTTATACTTACTTTATAAGTGCCTTATAAAGCTTAGTACTATAAAAGAAAAGTAACTTATAATAGATATTATAGCCCTTTACTAGTTATATAAATACTATAAAATTTTTAAAATATAGTAGATTTATAGTAGTAATAACCTAGTAGATAGGTTTATAAAGTTATTACTAAATAATATATTAAAAAAGCTAGTTAGTAATAGGTAGTTAGAGATATAGATAAATAAATAGGTTTCTTATATATAATAGACTATATAAGCAAAAAGTATTAAATACTTTTTAGCTTTTTGTTTTTATTATGTTTTTTAGCTATTCTTTTAGATATAAATAATAGGGGATTTCTAGCACTATAGAAAGTTACTAGTGTTATAATATTAACTATTATAGATAAATATTAGAGTTATTAGGTTAACCCTAATAACTTATTACTAGTAAATCCTTAGATATTTAGCTATAGATTCTCCAAGGATTTGTAGGCAATAAGTTGGTTATTTAACTAACTAACCTACAATAATTATCCTTCTTTTCTTTACGCATAATAGAGAACCACAGTTACCCCTATTATTCGTCAATTGCCACTAATACGTACGGTTAACTGTATCAACCTATCCCTTGGTGTTACCAACAGGATCATCAACATCTTGAAAAAAATGTGGCATTGTGTCTAGTTCGACCACAACCATAGATAGGGCCACTGCATTCCTTGATGCCTCAGGCTGACTGAGACCGGCATGGTTGTCCGCAATCCCGCAAGCTGCATTTTGTAGGCAGCCCAAACCATCGACCATGCGCCCATGGGTTGGCCGAAGCTGTTAGCATGTGAGGTTCACTATCAAGAGCAAGAAGCCAGGTGGGGCCGGAGACGGCCGCAAGCAAGTCTGTTGCTCACGACATACGGCCATTCGCTAGACCCGAGGTCCAAGGAAGAGAATGTTGCAGGCCGTCGTCGGGTTTGAACAGAGTCTCGTTGGAACACGTCAGATAGCGCATCCGGGGCATACCACCTGAACACGATGAAAAGTGAAGCAGCGTTGAGGCGTCTACCTCGCTGACCGCCTCTCTGTCTGTGAGCGACGGCATGACAGCGCCCCTCTGCTTTGCAACTCCACGCCTAGGAATTTGTAACTCACCGTCGTGGCCTTTCCAGGGTTAGCCATTGTTGAATGGTAGTCTGAGTGCTTTGCAAGTCCAGCACCCCGCAGGGTGCAAAGAACGGTATTAGGCTAGTCGTCGTTTGGCGCGCGGGGGTTGATGAGGTACTTGGCTACGTGGGTGCCATGATACCAACAATTTCCCCAGCCATCTAGGCAGAAGGAATCTTTGCAGATATCCGCATCGGGACTCCGATACCCATCCTCAAGACGTCCAATAGGCTAAGCAGCGGCTGGCGGGGTTCCCCCGCCAAGCCGCACTCTTCCCCACTGCTGAGTGACTATTATCCGAAAAAGGCAATTTCCGCTTGACTACCTGGAGGGGACTGACATGCGTCTGCTGGTACGCCCGGCCGCTATTCCCCGGCCACACGATTGGCGATCATCCACTTGGGGTCCGAATTATTTTCTGAGCCACGGCGGCCCGAGCTTGGGAGGATAAATCATGAAAGATAGTTTTTGGGGGGGTTACAAGAGTCATGCCACCAAAAAATCCTCAGTCCTCAGCACGGGCGGTCTGTTCCGGGCCGAGTTCTAATGTTGCCGAGAAAGAAAAGAGTCCCTTATCCGACCTCGGAGTCCGGCACTTAGCCAATGATCATTTCACCTTCACCAGATTTTCATTATACGTACACAAAGCGATAGTATTGCGGTGTTTGATGCCGCCATGGATCGAAACCAGGTTTATTGACATCGTCATCGATGTTCCAATTAGCAGGCAGCTCTAATAAATCCGTCGTCCCCCAGCTTCCCGTACGGCTCGCATGCTGCCGTTCAAGACCAAGACAATGTCTAATGGCACAGTTGCCGCCGCGACATCCTTCCGTCGTCATGGCCAACCCAGTCGATTCCCAACGACCAATGCCGGGGAGGCAATAAAAACTTAATCCCTGATTTCGGTCTAGGGCTTTGGGACTGGAGGCTCCTGTCTTGGTTGCCTAGTTCCAGCCCTATGCAGGAACTTCGTGGGCACGAGTGTAGGGGTATTCAACACCAAACGCAGAGCTGTTCGTTCTGACATTGTTTCGATTTGGCGGACCTCAAGTCCTGACATCGCCAGGACGGAAAGGAAAGGTGTAGAGCAACCAAGGCGTGTGTCGCTGGCACATTCTAGAGCCTCTCGAGTCCGGCCTCGGCCTGGGCCAGCACTGAAGGAAATCCGATCCTTTTACTCATGTCGATGGCCTGTTGAAACCGTTTCCTAGCATCTTCCTTCTTTCCTAGCATGGCAGCGATATCGCCCATGTTTGCCAATGCCACGGCACATGCCTCGTCGCACTCTTCTGTTCGCTCGTCGCCCGTGATATCCTTGGAGTGCGAGTAAGCGTTGCGAGCCCAATTCTTGGCAGCTTCCAGGAACCCGGCACGATCCGTTGGCATGTCAGGACTGACCATCGCGTTGGAAGTCGTAGGTGCGTTGGGAATGACCTCCAGTGGAGTCTGAAGAGGATGCTGCGCAAAGGCCGCAGCCAGGTTGTTCACTAGACGATGCGTCAGTAACGTCCAAGTATGCGTTTTGGGGGCATCGCTCAGAATAGTTTAAGGCGAAGCGGCATCAACCTACTAATTGTAACTCGATGACAGGGGCTGTCGCAGAGACGTAATGCTTGGAAGAACAGTGGCACTGCCAAATGGAACTGAGACTTGGACTCGTAGTGTTGAGCCAGGGCTGTGACGCAACGTCAGTACAATGTCAGCAGAGGCTTCATAGCGTCACAGTATCGGCTGGTAGATGATAACGCACATTCCATGGCTCCTCCGATCTCCTCTGGACTCATCCAGGGGCCCTCTTCCTTCTTGACACCTTCCTCATGGCGCCGCCGTGACTCCTTCAAGGCAGTCTCGACAGCCCACGCCAAGCGAGCCTGGGCGTTCTCTGGCTCCATAACATGCTCATCAGAGTATAGAACACCAAGTTTGGTGCTGGTGCCAACAGCTTTGGCAAGCAAACGGGTGCGTTTGTGCCATAAATCCTCAGCAGCCTTCTCTTCATCATCTTCTGCGATGGTTGGACGTTGACCTGCAGGCGGTAACGTGACAGTAGGCGGCTTTCCTGACTTGTCTGCTGTTCCGTCTGCGTTGGACTTCTCCATCCATTCTACCCACTTGAGGCAGTCTCTTAGCACTGAATTCAACACAGTGATGGCTCCTTGGTAGTTGCCAATCTTCTCAAGCCAAGCGGCTGTCTGGATCCTAATGCCCAAGACGTCGTCAGAGAACGGATCTAGCTGAAGCTCGTTGCACTGCTCCAAGGCTTGCTTGTAGTATTTCCTTGCCAGGTTCGGGTCGGGGCTGATGTTGGTGTAGTATAGTGCTCGACGGAGAGACTTTGCGATCGGCTTGGGGTACTTGGTAAATTGTCGGGCCATGAAGTAGTCGAAATAGAGCTTGACAATATAGATGGATATACCTGCCAAACCTGCGAAACTTGAGAGTGAGCGAGTCAGCAGCGCAGTTCAGAGTTGATGACAATGATGGACAACTTACATAGCTAGGGCTAGTACAAGCTCTTCAGGGCTCTCTTTGAACATCTTCTTCAATCCTTGCGGTTTCATTGAAGTCAAAAGTGAGCGGAAAGACATTAATCTCCAAAGCTGGCGTGCTTGTGGTGGTGGTGGAGGCTTAGCCGGTGGGTTAGATTTCTCGGGGCCATTGTAGGACGAGTTCGATGTGCTCTGCTGCCTCCGCTGATTGTGTCTACACACAACGGTAGCGCTCGAAAGAGTGTCGGCTCGTAGTGTTGCGCAGGACGCGGTGAACGGTTTGATGATTTGACGGCGGCACGGGTCAATGGTCCGTAATGCCGCGATGCGCGACGCTGCCATTGTCGAGATGTACCGAATACAGGAATAGTGTTAAGAGTTTAAAGGCGTGCAGTGCAGGATTGGTCGTTGGACAAGTTTCGTCGATGCTATCTGTGCTGGTGGTATATGTGCGATTATTGTCAGTGAGTGACGTATTGCCACGAAATTTAATTGAAGATCAGAGCTCTTGCTATTGTGGGTCTGTGTCACAATGCGCAGCGAATCAAAAAAGACATTTAGTCCGAGGCTCATCCGGCCATGCCGCAGGAGCCGCCCCCCACCTGGATCGTGGGGAAGCTTGAGCATCAGAGTCGAGCTTCTTTCCCCTCCATTCACCGTCCTTGTAAGAGAAGAAAAATATTCACAACCCTGCAACTTGTATCTGACGCCTCGAAATCTGCAACTCGATACCGATACTCCATATCATATATCTCTCATCAAAACCCAAGAAAATGGCCGGAAAATTCGAGCCCAAGGTCCCTGTCGAACTGGCTCCCCCCAAGGACGACCCTATCACCCTTGAGGAATTGGCAAAGGCCGATGGTAAGCTGTCTTCGCTTCCGTATCTTTGGTTGAAATGTCACCGTCATTTCATTTACTCCTCAAGCGATAACCGCCGAGCGGCTTGTACCTGGCTCTGGGTGGAGATACCTATGTGTGCGTGCGTTGGAGAGATCGTTCACTCATTGTGGTGGGCCCTCAACGATGGGGGCATGGCCGTCAAGGGTTGAATATATCAGTATTCTTTTAGCCATTGTGAAGGACTCGAAGCGATCCAAAATCGTGATCAGGTGTTAGGGCGCATACCATGTTGTTCACATGCAAATGTTCTCGCCAACTAAACTTACTCGATGCCGGTGACGCTAACAGCATCATAGGTTCGGATCCGAATGGGAAGACATACGTCGCGATCAAAGTAAGATCAAATGTATAAGAATCATTTAAGCGGCTTCTAACATATTGCCCCCCCAGGGTATTGTCTATGACGTGACGGGCAACAAGGCCTACCAACCAGGAGGTTCCTACAACGGTGAGTCCCAAAACTGCCCACAAAAGCCAAAGGTAGTACGAATACTGATATCTAAGTAGTCTTCGCTGGAAAAGATGCCTCCCGCGCTCTTGGTATGACCTCAACAAAGGCTGAGGATGTCAGCCCTGAGTGGCAGGACCTCCCTGATAAGGAGAAAGGTGTTCTCAACGACTGGATTACTTTCTTTTCGAAGCGTTACAATGTTGTAGGTCGTGTTGCAGGAGCTACAAACACGGAGTAAAGGGCAGAATGAAGGGAGGTCCGGTTCCGAAATAACGGAGAGCAAGCGGAAGTGATTAGGAACTAGAGCAGAATGGGATCTCAAATATTGCCTTCATTTGCTCATCTGAGTGTGATACGCTGCCGGGATGAAGTGTAGTCGTAACATATGTCGTGAGCTCATTCTGCGCCAGTGGTCTCAATCCAAAGCCCGCCAACCCCTCCTCATTCAGCCCCTCCTTGGAAAACACTAACATTAATTTCAATCATAGCATTGTGATTACACGTCACAGCCTTTTGGCAGCCGTCGTGCGTTTCGCAGACTATCATATCAAAGTTACTCAAGAACGATGTACCCCCGCGGCACTTCTCAACACATCGCTCTGTGTACGACAGCTGACGGTCATGCGATGCCACCGATGTTGTATGACGCTCCTACACTGGTTCATACTTGATGCTTGATGGACCATCGGCCTCGACTTTCCTTCCACAAATACCGGATTCAAGTGTAAATATCTAGCTGGACCGATGAGGGTCTCCATATTGGGTTCTACGATTGGAATCGGATATGAGTCACTGGATTCGATTTGAGGCGACCTGTTTACTAGTATCTGGATGAGTGACAAGTGACTAGTCTTGCGTCATATTCTGTTTTAGATGGGGAGTACCCAATGATTGAGCGCCTAAATCTAGACCTACTACTACGAGAACTTGGCATTGTTTCCATGAAGACGCTCCCCTTCTGGAGTTTCAGAGTGCCGTTCTGGTGACGCGTAGCCTTTCTGTTGTCCCGTTGTACAAAGGGTTGTTTCCATGCCGGTTTCCGTGTTTGCTATCCGGTCACACTGAGGTATAGGTTCACGAAGGCCTCGAAACTCGGAACTCAGGAAGGTACAGCTCTCTACATCAAACCCGAAACTGCCTAGCATATCGACCCGCAAATCTTCCAAGGAATAATACATAAATCACGATCGTAAGTAAACATTCGAGTGCACTTGTGAGCCTCATCACTCCAATCACTCGTTTTCTTTTACCCGAAGCCACGTAGTTAATGAGCCCTAGGATGCCCTTCAATCCAAGCTGAGCCAACCAAATTCATACATTCGCTCGACCCAGTGCCCTGTTGTTTAGCATAACTCATCCATTCACGAGACCGATGAGAAAATACATACCCGTACCCGCTTCTCACATCACTGCGTTTCAGGTTCATAATGATCACAGCATGTGTACCCAATGGTTGATGTGTACAAGAATCGAGAAACGTGTACCACAACTTTTGCCGCCTATCTTCCTGCTACAACCATAGAGCCGTACTGGCTTCTCGACCCAGACAAGAACAAGAGCTTTGCATATAGAGCGATCATAATTCCATAATACCTATTGTTCTAGGCCTATACCACTATTCTACGAAGCAGCGCTCGCAAAAGGGCCATATCACTACATGAACTGAGGCGCGGGTCGTATTACACTATTTGTCAAATATTGTTGAAATTTGTAATCATCTAATCAAGAAACCAACCATTCAGGTGTCAATCTGCGCAAACCAGGTTATTTTTCCATAAATAGAGAAATACAGGGAATATTGCCATCGTCGTGGACTAGCGCCGCCGCCCTTCGCTGCTGACCCCCTTGTCAATGACGCCGGCCCCGGCCGCCGATATGCCCCTCTCCGTTGAGCCCGGCGGCAAAACACGGATTCTTCTGGTCCCTCCAGGCCGACATGCAGTTATCGCACGGCACGCTTTGTCGCCACGAGTTGCGGAGAACCTTGACACCGAAGCATTGGTGGTTCGGGTCGTTGCGAGCGAAATGACAGTACGACTTCAGCCGTACAATCGAGTGGTTGCAGGTGAAGAGAAATTCCTCCCAGTCACACATGTTGCCAGAGTGAGCCGAGGGAAGTTCCGAGCGGTGCTGGTGAAGGGCCTTGAAAGAGCTGTCTTATCGTAGTCAGCTCTGGACAATGGACAGTCGGAGGGCATGAACGCTGTTCAGATACATACAGAAGCTACGTCTACTCGGTTTTGCGGATGTGTCTTCTCCGATAGAGTTTACTAGTTCTGGTCAATATATCTTGATAAAGGAAGTTTGTAGTAAATGGTGTCAGATGCTTTTTGGAACAATCATTGACAGTTGGCGTTTAGAAGTGAATCTCACCGTCAATGAAGCACACACTTCTGGGCTGTTGCCAGGCTTTTATAACATTTTTGTCTTGGGGATTCGGTTCACAGACCACGGTAATCACCATGGGGTTTCGAAGATCAATATGCAACTGATCGTAAAGAGCATTTTCGAGGACGACAAGACGCCTGGCCACATGGACGCAGCGTAAGTCCCTGGCTATCTTGTTGATGCTGTGCATCGATGAGATGTCGGTTTGCGAGAATGCCATGGAAACCTTGGCATGGTGTGGGGGCAACCTCGCTCAACACCTACCTCGTCCGGACTTCAGCAGCTCCTACATGAAGCTTAGTCCCGTACGTCTAAGGGGAGGGTGTTAACTGTGCATCCCCGGGAGAGGAGACTGCAGATTCCCTGCTCGGATGGTAGGTACGGATGTAAGAACTAGCATATTCCTCCCTTCGAGATTCATTGAAGCTTGGCTGTCGTCTCAAATCCGGTAATGGCAAGACGCAATGAGTATAATGAGAGAACTGTGTTGGCATTTTCACACTGAGAGCTGATTTTCGACCTTGGATCGGAAATGTCGGCTACCCCCTCCAGGGACACTCACTCCGTGTTCCGGCTCTTGAAGATGATGCATACTCCTGGTCTGAGTAAAGAAGCACCTTGCAAAGGCGACGGGTGTTAGTTTGCCCTTTGGAGGCTTGGTGCCAATAAGGACCAGTGCAGTACGAATTATTGCCTGGCTATGTCATAGATAATGCGCATCGTCCTCTGGAGGTTGGTTTAGTTACAGACCAACTGTTCATTTGGGCATACAGGGCCTTGACAGGTTAAGACGGCCGACTTCATCTTGCTCTCTCTCTCTAGGCTCGTCTGCAATTTGTAGGTCGTGTGTCACGATGGACATCAAATCCTATCGGCAGTGGGGAGTATCATTTCTGCACCATCCAATTGTTTGAGCCGTTAGTTCAGGACCCAAACCACTTGCATACTGCGGAGCGGCCCGATAGGCGGGTTTACCTAGCTCAGATGTAGGCTCGCTCCTTGGCGCAGAGCAAACACCGAATATTCTGCACACTGGACGAGGCAAATGCCCAAACCAAAGTTACGGCCGAACAGTTCCCTGGCCGTTGAAAAATTCTCACCATAGGGTGCCATTGAAAATGTAGAGTAGGCATGCCATAGCGCAGCGCGGATTCAAATGTCTATCGTGTAAGGACAAATATTGTGGCAAAAGAAGTACCCTCGTAAGATTGTGCAACAAGGGACAAGGCCCCGCTTGCCAGAACATCCGGCGGCCAAACGATGCAGATTCCCTCAAGTATAAGAGAGGTTGAACGAGGAAGAGGCCTTCAGAAGTGGGCCTGCAAGCACCGGAAAGGTTCAAATCCAGGGAGGGAGCGGGCCATCGGAGGACGACATTGGCGGAAATGATACATCGCATGCTGAGCTATGGTTGCTCGTCCAAGCAACTAGAAGTGGGATGATGATTGCGTTGTTATATCACATGAGAGGTGATCCAACAGGGTGTCGTGCGGGATTGCGCAACAAGTAGAAGGTGAAACCCGGCCGAGGGCGTGTATGCGAGCCTCACATTTCAAATGGGTTGAAAGTTTGGACTACATATTCACAGACCCTGTCAAGCCTACGACGGCTCAAATCTTACTCAGTTCTGTGGAACTCCTTGCAGTGGAAGGTGCCGCGGGCTCTAGAACTCGAAAGCGAGCAACATGATTGTGCCAGCTGAGATTGCTGTAGTAGTTAGAAATAGGGTGAAGACAAGCAAGCAAGCTAGTCGAGAACGACGTAAAGCTTCCTCTTCTGGCCATGCGCGAGTCTCATGGGATTGGCCTCGTTGAGGGTGACGTCGGCTCAAGGGTACCGAGACGAGTTGACGTGGCTCCCAGGTAGTTGGACCAGGTATCGCTCATATCTAGCCACCAAGGAATGTAACGCCCAATCAAGTCTTGATTTTCAACAGACAGGTAGCTGCGTATGTCCCGGGCGTTCGTTGGGGTGGTTGTTTTCGTCCTGTTGCTGGATGTCTTCAAAGGCAGATACCTAGGTAAGTTGTGTAACGAGACAACGGATGGAGCGTGCAGTGTAAGTGTAGTACTTGGTTAATTCAATGTTCTCTTTGAGAGCCGAGCGGTCGATGTTGGAAGTGGAAAAAATGCGACCCATTCTCCGGGTGTCTGGTTGCCTCGCTAGTCGCCTTGTATCGCTGCCTAGTGTCTTCCGGACGCTGATTGGCCGGGGCTGGGCGTCGACGTGTGCTACTCACCGAGAGTCGCCCCAAAAGCAAGGCGGACTAGCGGGTGGACTGCGCCCTCGACCTCATGGCTGCCTCATCTACTCCCCTAATGTGTGTTTGAGCCGCCCGCAATCGCTCCTCACTTTGCCTCGCATTAGTCACATCGAGCCCTCACCCCCTCCTTCCTTCCTTCTTCTTCACTGCTTCTTCCTCGTCCGGATAACTACAAGTCTTTTTCGCTTTCCTCCATGTCCACGTCGCCCGACTGAAACCTTCGGTTTTCTTCCATTTTGTCCTTGAGCCAGCAGTCTTTTCTCCTGGAAGACTTCGCCTGTCCGTTTGCCCATGTATTTCTAGTTCCGGGAGCCAGTCGTCCTCTTTCGGCCCCGACCGACCCACTGCGGACCGGCAACTCAACTGCATCAACCTTCCCTCTCAACTCGGACCATCCAGACTCCGCTTCGCTTTGACAAATCCTCTACAGGCAGTTGCCTTCTCCCCGGTCACATCGGCTTCAAGTCTCAAGCTTTAAAAGCCAAACAAAGAAAAAGAACAGCTCTGCGTGCCTGGCTTCGGACTCGAGTTGGTTGCCTTCGTTCCCTTCCGTCGTCTATCACTACATGTATTGTCAACTTTGCTATGTAAAACCGGGCCAGTGCCTGCTGCTATGGGTGCAAATGCCCGCAGAGCCGCCTACTCTGTATGCCGCGGTCTAACGTGTAATTAGTTGCTCGTTACAGCTCATAGTTCGAGTTGTTATCTCTGGCCGCTCTTCGCTGCTACGACGAGGTCCTCTCGTTGATGAATCTGCCCAACAACATGGGGATGGACCCCGCAAAGCAAGGCCAGATGGTTCCCATTCAGGACACAGAGACCGTGGCCGACATGCCGACACCTTCGGGTCAGCGCTTCCATCACAAGACACCGATGCCATGGAGCCTGATGGAATTTTATGGCGGGGAGCAGCCATGGGTTCCTTCGGGTATTTTTGGTGCATCTCAACAAGGCCGACAAGCACTTGCGCCGGATATTCAGCGACGAACCAACGGCAACTTCCAGGGCTGGCGAAGCACGCTGCCTTCGGAATGCGATACTGTCCCCTCGGGGTTTCCTCCTTCGGACTCCGGTTACGAGAGTAGAACCAAACACAGCATCGAAAACACATCCGTCTTCAACGATGTGGACCGCAGCCAGGATACCCAGAGCCTCTCGGGGCAGGTAATGGACTATCACCCCTTCAGCATAACCCCTACCGATGGGGGCTGGGACAATATGGCTTCAACACCCGTTCCTTCATCCCAAAGTGGTGCCTTTGGAAGCAGATTGGTCTGCCCGGACTGCCAGGCCCCTTGCAAGACCAAGTCAGAGTTGAAGTGAGTTTGCGAGCTGATGGTACTCACCTCTGACAACCGCGCTGACTTGTAATTAAGCAAACACAATCAGCGGCACCGCAAAGCCTACATATGCAATGTCTCTGGATGTACCCGGAAGGAGGGATTCGGCACTTTGAACGACCTCGACCGGCACAAAGGCAGTGTGCACCCTGACGTTTTTAACGCAGGCCCGCGGTATCGCTGCCACATTGGCTCATGCCAGACCAAAGACAAGATATGGCCCCGTGCGGATAACTTTAGGCAACACCTAAAGCGTGTGCATCAACGACATATCGGCCCTGAGGATGATCTTAGTGAATACTTACTGCAGTAAGTGTTTTTGGACTGGATTGCTGTCGGATGTGATATCTAACAACAGCGTAGGTCATCACTACAGAGACCCCAGGATGGTTCATTTCAACAGAACGCGCAAGATGATTTGGAAGGCGTAGGCTCGGAGCTTTTCAACTCCTACAACGCGGGTCCGATGGCCTGGGACGACAGGCCGACAGCTTTTGAGGAGATTCAGGAGGAGATTCAGCTATCTCCTCAAGAAGAAGCGCCAATGCCCATGGATCTCATCCTCGATCCATCTCTTACCAGGACTGATGGCTCAGCATCAGGCGCATCTCTCGGTTCATCGGAGGTGGATGTGGCTGCTTCCAAGGTTCAGTTACACAACCAAATTCCTGATCTGCTTCGTGAGCCTGGACATCACGAGTTTGTACAACCCAAGGAAATCACCAGAACTCTGTCTCCTAAGGCCGTTGTTGGAGCGAAACGCGATGGCTCCTATAGCTTCCGTACGGACCAGCATCAAAGTACCCCTATCGATATTAGCTCGGACCGCGAACCAGATGTCCTGATTCCAGAAAGAACCCAGAGCAGGCCTCTTGATGGTTCTCTAGCAGATAGCATAGACTGTGATGCCGCTACCAAGACTCCGACTCATCAAGCCCTGGTCGGATCCAGCGGGGAGAAACAACCCATCGAACAAGCAGAGCAGCCTATTAATCAGCCTCCCTCTTTGCTTCAGAACAAGAGCCAAGAAGTCATATTTGATCTTCTTTCGCAGCTGCCCAAGAATGTCATTGAGACATTCCTCAAGAACCAGACAGAAGCAGCCCCTCAGAAACCCGCATCAGCTCCTATTACAACCACCAACAGCCAACATCAATGCCCGCACTCTACCTGCCAAAAGGGCTTCAACCGAAAGTGCGAGCTCAAGTAAGCAGTCTCTATCATGCCTTATGATAGTCCAGTGTTAACACAGAGAGATAGGAAACACATGAAGCGCCATGAAAAACCGTATGGGTGCACGTTTTCCAACTGCAAGAAAAGGTTTGGCAGCAAGAACGATTGGAAGCGCCACGAGAACAGCCAGCACTTTCAGGTGGAGATGTGGAAATGCCACGAGAAACGGGCTGACAATGAGAGCGAAACCTGCGGGAAGGTCTGTCACCGCCGGGAGACCTTCCGGAGCCACCTTGCAAGGGAACACAAGATGAATGATACCGCGCAAGTCGATAAGGCACTCGAAAAGTGCCGCGTCGGACGCAACGGCGATCCCAGGTTCTGGTGTGGGTTCTGCAGCAAGATTGTCGAAATTCCGCAGAAGGGCGCTACCGTCTGGGCCGGGCGGTTCAACCATATCGACGATCACTACGCAGGCCGGAATAACCAACCCAAGAAGGAACACTCGGACTGGGTGGCTATTAATCCATACCTGCCCAAGGTTGACCTCACCGGCTCTCCGAATGATTCTAGCGACGCGGAATCGGCCGACGAGGGCCCCGTTGTCGTCGATTCGCAGAAGCCCGGGGGCGACACCCCTAAGGCCGTAAGCTGTCAGACGAGAAAGAGAAGGCTAAGAGATGACGAGGACAACGACGAGGACGACGACGAACAAAATGAACCTAAGCGCATACGAACGTACAGGTGGTTTTGCGTAAGTAACCCTCGTTCATCATCACATGTATGATTTGGCGAGTCCTCGCTAACAAGTTACTTCTACAGTGCACATGTAAATGGGACGCCGACTGTAAGTTGAATGACAACTGCATCAACTTCAACTGCAACCACAGGCGGTGCGATAACTGCGAAATCCAATGTGTCACGATCCGGGACAAAAAGGAGGCCCACCGTTCAACCAAAAAACAAACGTAGAGGGTTATAATATGATAATAGACATAATGACGATGATATCACCCGTTGTGGCTATTGGGTACACTGATTTTTCTGTTATGTCGGGCGCGGGGGAGTGATACAATGGCAGGAAGGCCACGCGGAAACAGACGACGGTGCCCGCCATCCACTTGCTAGGCTACAGAATCCATGACGGATCCTTGGCTGTATTTCCAATGTTTCCAATACACCTTTACTATAGTACCTAGACACAGAAAAGAAGCAAGGCATCCCCGTCGGCGCCTGCAAGTATTGGTAAATCACGCTTCTGCTCGGTGTTTGATACACGTCCTGTAAGCATTCGTCAGACCTTTGCAAGCTGCTGAAAGGTGAGCAGTGCCCCTGGCATCGTAATTTAGACCGCCCTGCCCCTCAGCCCACCCCCGGCGGCTTGCCACGAGGCCACTCGACCTCCCAGGCCCCACCGCGCGGCCGCCTCGGGAGGGAGGGGGAGCCGTGGGTTTCAGAGAAGGGTCGGAGAAGCAGACAACAGCAGGATAGGAGATGTAGCCGCGCGCCGGGGCGCCTTTAGGATAATCTCTATGCTCTTGGGCGGCTAGCGACCCGAGATATGGGGTACTGGACGATCGGGCTTGCCCTCCTGCCTGGAGCCGCGTTGAGAAGGATTTTGCTTCTTTGAGTAGATGACAGGTCATTGCACGCTCCACGGACTCTCATCGCCGCCTGGTATCTATGAGCTGCTGCCCCGTCATTCTTTTTCCAGCTCCTCTGAGTCCCGTGCACTAGGGGACTTATAGGACCTTCTCCCTCGTCCCAGTCAAAACCAAAAAACATGGTTCTAATCGACCGTCAGAGTGCCATTGAACCCGTTCCGTGGAAGAGGGTGGTGTGTGTCTCGCCGGGGGGTTACAAACCCCCGCAGAAGGGGTGTGGGAGGGGTGGAAGACAGACAGAGCAAGACCGGGCAGGGATGATGTACACAAGATAGAATAAGCGTGAGGGACGTCGAGAGATGGGCCATGCATGCTTCCTTTTCATTTCCCCGGCCCTCGTGGGGTTCCGGGCTTACCTCCCATAGATTGGTGTGGGGGGGGGGGGGGGGGGGGCGGTATCAGCAATGGATTATTCGCGTGATGGCTTGGTGCGACTTAGCAGTCACGGTGGCTTAGGTTTGGGCTGAAGCAGGCGCTGCAATGGTATCATGAGGACGGACACGCATATGTTCGGGTTGATGGGGGTGGAGGACCGTCAGGATGTCGTCAAACGAAGTGTGGTCGGCGCAATGGGTTCTGGGTAGGTTAGCTCGGATCACGACACTACGTTACAGGTCGGGCACCTAACAGCCTCCAGCCCCGAGACAGGACATCGGTTTTGTGCTGAAATACATGCTTCGGAATGTTCCCAATGTAGGCTGTGTATCGAGCTGAACATAACACTACTGCCTGTCAACCTTTGTGGTGGATTGATCTGCGTCCAACAAACCCAACGAAGATGTCGAGAGCCCTGGTCTACGTCGGCGCTTTACTGGGAGGTGGGCGAAGGAGCCGTAAACTGATGCCGCCGCGGGTGTCTTGCCTCATTGGGTACGAGAAGAGCTACCTGCATCCCGGTCATTTCAATTCCACCATGTACAGGTCACCAGTGTGTGTGTGTGTGTGTGTGTGTGTGTGTGTGTGTGTTGTTGTTATTCTTGTTGTTATGTTTCAAGCTCTGAAGAAAATCGCACAAACTTAATTTCGGGGATCCCGAATGCCAAGTCTGCGTCGCGTGCAAAGGACAGCATCCACCGGTGCGAATGCCGTTATCGACGAGTTGAGATTGGCAGTGACGGACGCATTATCTCCATTCGGCGGTCTGACGGGTCAGCGGGTTTTCTCCGAGACCTCAGAGGCTGCTTGATGCGGCGACCGTCCAATAAGAACCGACCGTACTGGGCGAAAGGTTGCTGGAGAATCCAATAACCGTTCCGTTCCTGTTCTATCGATGTTAGAGGCAAGGGGCTGGAGAAACGCGGACGCAGGTCTAGCAAGAGAGCGTAGGGTGTGCTTTGACTGCTGTGTGTCGACGACGGTAGGGTGGCCTCGGCGGGCAGTCGTTCGTATAAGAATAAACTTGCCGCGCGACTCGCACAGGCTGGTACGCCTGTGCAACTTGTGCAATTAGATAGTGGGAACACACGTGGTCTACGTTGCTGGGGTCCCCGGATTAAATCTTGAGACATGCGTGCGTAGGAGGTTAAGATCCGAGAGATCTGTGAATTTGCAACTCTACTCGAGATTAAAGATGTCGGCGAGACATTAAGATTGGTGAGCCTTGAGACACAAGAGAGAGAATACCCAAGTGTAGCTCAGCACGTCCGCATCGTCTCGGTCGCACGCGCAATGTTGCGGCGTGTGTGTGCCACGTGCTCGAAGCGGGCCAAGCTATCCGTCCAAGGATGCGGAACCCAGAGATCAAGCGGAGTTTAGCTTCGGAAAGGAAATTATCAAGAGATGGACATGGCCGCTCAGTGACCATGCATTTAGCCCTTGGCCGTTGTCCATTGGTCTCTAGGGGTATGCGATCCTTGTTCCATAGATTCGTAGAGAGGAGCAAGTTACATACATGGCATTTATGTAGCCCGGAAGCAGGTTCAAGATCAGCGGGGCCTCTCCAAAGCTCGAGGTTGCTTACCAAGAGTCATTGTAATCGTCATTGGTGCTGTTGGTCGAACCCCGACGATTGACCGACGGCCAAGGCCGTGGCTTCGCATAGTGTCGAGTGGAAAGCTGGCAAGTGCTAGGATGCTGGCTAGTCTGGGCTTGCAGGGTTAGAGAAAGCGGGCCATCAGGGATTCAACGGCGTGGCAGCGTAGTAGCGTAGCGTACGTACTGATTACGTATATAGCACCTATATAGTATATCCGCAATAGGCCGAGAGTAAAGATGGGAAGAGCGTAGGGTTTCTCGTACTTGATAGATGAGCGGTCAGGGAGCAATGGAGATGCAGGCCTCTTGGGATGGCTACGATCTGGACGCTACGTGTAGAGGGAGTAGAGCGGTTGTTGGTGCGGAATTTGGAATTTGGATACGTACGTACCTTGGTCACGCTGAACCGTGAAGGTCTGCAAAGGCCACAAGGGTATCCGGAAAGAGGGCTGATGGTCCGAGGAATGCGACTCGGGCCAATTATCCATGTACGGATTTACACCACCACCGTATCTGCGGTTTCTTGGAGAATGGTAGCGAATGGTTGATTTTGTACATCGTAGGATCCATTAGGGGTTTGTCATTGGTCGGAGGGGTACGATGTAGTGTAGGTAGGTGTCGAGCACCGGAAAATTGAGTAGCCGGTACGTACTTCGATGGTGCATGTCTGTGTGTTCATGGCAATCACCTGAGGAGCCCGTCAAAAGACGTTGCATAAATGCCAAGGCGCTAGAAGCACCATCTCCCAGCTGACAGTTTCAGTACTCCGTACAGCACAATACATCTCAGATCACATAATCATCAACCTGCTCCTAAAAGGGCCCCTGAGAATCAATCTCATGCTACTGTAGCACTCCTATGCTCTAGAGATATCTAGTAAGAGTCTAATAAGAGCGTATTCCTAAGTACTAAGGCTAGGATACTCTACTTTTAGTCTTAGCATTCTCCGCAAGGTCTCTTAACAGGGCTCCTCTGTACACTAGATTAGCTAACTGTAGATCTCGCGTAGGTATCCGTATTCGTAGCGTGGACCTGTCAGTTCGTCCGGTCTGGTACGTATATCCCAGGCACGGCCCGTCTAGGTACGTACTCGTACTTATTCATGTCCATGTGGTTTCTGCGGCGCGCGCGGGTGATTATGAAGACCAACTGGGCGGTCGGGTAAGGGCTAGATCCTCTGCCCCAGACGGCCGAATGGATTGGCTCGAGGACGACTGACCAACTGGGCGAGCAAGGGGCACGAACTACCTAGGGGGCATGGGTAGAAAATCGACCCAGCCACTGGGCAGCAAAAGCCAAACGCGACACCACTTCCAAAGGTCCGTCCCGCAACTCAAAGGACTTATCCGTTCCAGGGACCGCCTTGTAAGCAATCGCACCTTGGTTTACTGATCGATGTTGCAGTGCCATGCGGTCGAACTCCCCTCCCTGCGTGAGTTAATGATTATACTGGCTACCGTATAATTGCCTGGTTCAAGCCTAAAACCTCATGGAACCGATAAGCAAGGCAATAGAACAGCTTTGGGGGTTATGCTGGCAGTGTAGGTGCACTGCCGGTGGCTTTTGCGGCGTCGGGTACGGGACGGGGACGGGGGTGACGCCTTCTACCAACTCCACATCCGCAAGTGCAACCCACCCCTGCCGCTTGGTCCGTATCAATGTACAATGTATGTACAAGTACACGTACATGCGCGCTACACGCTACACGTACAGTCATGTAGGTACTTCAGGTACTTCTCGACGCAACTGCGCTAGTAAGCCTGTGGTTGCCTCGTTTGGTGCGCGCTTCGTGTCGCCGTGAGAGGGAGTAGAGATGATGGCCTAGATGACATACTATACTTGCACTTTCTACAGGTACAACCCAAGTTCTACCGTCCCAGCTTCTTCTGGCCTCCACCGGCTATCGTGTCTGTTTCTTTCCTTGGCTCCCTCTTTTGTCAACCGAACATATCGACACCCTGATAACAACAATAAGGAGAAGCCAGAAGTCCTGTTCTTAGCCTGCCTCCTATATGGGCATCTTGGGTGCCGTTCGATAAATTCCTGGTCAAGTCTGTACTTTGGGCGGTTACTACATCCAATTCCTCGGACGGGGGCACCCTCCCTAGGTGGCTCACGACTACATGAAATGCATCTACTTTCTGTGCACTGATAACGGCTCTGGCAAGCCCATGGCTTTAACCAAACCGCAACTATCCGACTATTCCCATCATCGATCGCCGGTGACGTTGGCGTTGCGTCCTTGGGCACATCTTAGAGGCGGCCGCTATGGCAGTCACTCACAGACCTCGATTGATGCTTCGCTGTTGGGCTGATTTGAGCCGGCATGGGCACGTTTGGCGGCCACTCGAGGCAATACTTTATTCGACGACCACAAGGCATCCATACGCATCTGCCTGGAGACTACGAGAGACATGCTTGAGGCCATCCCAGAGGAGACAAGCCCAATCCCTACCCGTCCCGTCGGTCGTGGAGTCGAGAATAGGCAGACCAGAACATAGCCCTGGCGGCTCCTCTCCCCCACTACCGTCCATCGCTCACCCTCCCTCTCCTCTCTCCCCTGCTGGTGGTGTGCTCCGCATACTTTCCGCCCACAGAAACAACGAGACACGACCTACCCGTACTAAATTATACAGATGTCTCTGCAGCCACTCGACACTAGCCGCTGATGGGGGCCAATCCATGCCAAACATGTACCCTGCCTGCTACAGCCTTGGGCGTCAGGGGTGTGTATCTGCTCGCCCGCAGCGACTAACCCTGATCCCTTGTACCGCACATCTTTGCCTCTTCCTTGACGCCTCGCATTCTGCCCTCTCTCTGTTGCCATCTTCGTGTCTCCACCATGCGGCTCTGCCAAAGTACGTATCTTTCTCGATGGGGTTTCGTCCCTTCCCCCAAAGCTCTCTGCTCTTGTAGAGCCCAGCCAACTGCCCTGGCGCACTCCAGTGTCGCCAGTCTCCCAGTTTACCTATTGCACTTATATACACCAAGCATCGCCACACTGGCACGTCTCTAACGCCAGAATTATGCCTCTTCATGTTCAGCCCATATGTAAGACAGCAAGCTTTTGTTCTCTTGCGTACTCTCGTATCCCTTCTATTATATCATTCAACCTTCTGCTACCGCCCACCCTAGCTGTTCGAAGTCTCTTCTCTCTCATCCTGCCCTGCCCTATCGCCCATCACTCTGGAACTGATCCCGCTGCACCGTCTCGAAAAGATACTGTACCGTCTGTTTCTTTGACTCCGATCCATAGGCAGCCCCTTACTTTGAAATCTGCCTTTGGAAGAAACCCGCAAGATGTCCTGTTTCTACCAACATGACCAAGGAGGACGTCCTCTCCACGAACAGTTATACTGTTGGCAGCAGGACTTTAACCAGATGCCTATTTCTCACCTTGACTCGTTGACAACTTCAATCTCGTCCGCCCTAATCGACCCGAGTCTTGCATCATACTCCCAAGCCGCATGGCCCCTGAGCCAGACCCATCAGATTCAACAAAATATCGATGGGCGACGAACAGCAATTTTCGTCCCCCAGAACGCCCAGGTCCCGCATAACCTAGCCTCTCCGGCCCAAGAACAGATTGTCTTACCTCCAGCCTCACAGCGAAGGCATGGCTCTCCCTGCTCTCAGCAGACGCTATCAAGCAGTGGTTCCAACAGCTCACCTACGGAAAGCGACGTTCTCCCCGCAACTCCCCCAGATTGCTCTGCCACTTCCCCCTTCATGCCACACAAGCAATACACCAGCGACTGGGAGACCCAACAGTACCGATCTCATACACTGCTTGGCCTCGGCATGCAGGGGACCTCCTTTGTCAGCCCTCACGAGGTGAACATCTCGCAAGCCATATTCGAGAACGAGATAACCCCGAATGCTTTCGATAACAGCCGGACCTTCAGCTTCTGCTCTTCAGACTCTGATGTGCCGAGCATCCCGCTACAATCGGCTCTCTCGTCGCGACATATTACACCTAAAACCCCCGAAGCCATCGCAAATCAGGAGATTCCTATGGTTGAGTGCTCGTACCAACAGAGCTATCCTGACACGATATGTGAACAGAGCTCCTTTGAGTCCAGAATTGAGGTCGACGTTTGCCTCGAAGACGACGAGGATCTTGACTACAAGCCCAAGCAACAGACCCGGAAACGCTCCCGTAACACCAATGTAAGAGCCAAGGCGCAAAATCCCGACTCACCTCAGGAGAGAAAGAGAACAAGGATCAACAGAAATACCGGTGGCCTGTCCTCAACTCGGCTCAACGCGGCCTTCTCATCTACGCCAAGCTCCAGGATTCTATGCGACGAATGCAAGACCTCCTTTTCCGACGAGAACACGTACCAGAAGCACATGAAGCAGCACCACACCCGCCCCTTCGTATGCGTGTTCAATTATGCCGGCTGTCCATCCACCTTTGCCAGCAAGAACGAATGGAAACGCCATGTAAGCTCACAGCATCTTGCCCTCCAGTACTGGCTCTGTATCCAGGATGGTTGCTCCAAGACCACCAATCCTCCTACCAGTCGGCGTTCCTCTTCTTCCTGTTCTACCATGCCTACACCACCTGCCTTGCCCAACGGCGCCATCTTCAACCGCAAAGATCTTTACACCCAACACGTCCGTCGCATGCACGTTCCTCCTCATGTCCGGAAGGCCCAAAAGCAGAAGAAACCCACCCCCGATTGGGATGATCGCCTCAAAAACCTCCAAGTGGACGCAGAGCAAACACGCTGCGACCTACCGCATTACATGCGTTGCCCGGCCAGCGACTGTGAGCACGAGTTCAATGGACCGCAAGCCTGGGACGAGCGCATGGAGCACGTCGCGCGTCATCTCGAGCGCGCGGCCGACGGCATAGAGCCGGCGGTCCACTTTGGCAACGAAAACGATCCGACTCTTACAGAGTGGGCGTCGAGCCCTGATGTTTACGTCGTCCGGAAGACCCAGGCCCCTGGCGGCTGGGAGCTCATCAACCCGCTCAAGGGTGAAGTTGGCCCCTCTTCAGGCAATGGGAAAGGGGGTGGCAGTTGCGGTAATGCTTCGTCCTGCCGCAAGGAGATTATCGTCACTGCCTGCTCTGACGAAGACGCCGAGGGAGAAGACGAGGAGTAATTTACCCATTAACATATTCTCTTCCATCAACCTTGTTCAGTACACATGCGTTACTCACCCGAGATATTATTTTGGCATGCCAAGCGCTTGAGGGTTCAGGTGTTTCGTTTGACCATACAGTGACAGGATACCTCTTTTACTTGCTTCATCTCCTTACAATTTGCCGTATCAGCAATGTGCGAACTTGTCTTTGCGGGCGTCCAGACTTCCTATCTTGGCGAATGATGGCGGGAGAAGGGAGTGAAAGGAACAGGCATATCACATATCGAGGGATAGAACTGGCACGCAGAGTCTGGCATAAAGCGGAGGTTTTAATGACCCTTCACGATCACAATCTGCTCTATATCGATAGCTGTGCATATTGATACCAATTTGTTACTGCCGCGCAACCATCTGTTGTCTGTCAGTGTAGAGCTTGTCCCGGCCGAATAGCTCCTTCTGTGTGTTTCATGGCAGCGTGTCCATCCAATACCTCACGCTCAAAAAGCCCGAGGCCGTTCAGCGACGACTCAAGCGCCACGAAAAGGGGCACAGAAGCCGTCAAGGACTTCCACCGAAGCGTCTACGGCCGCCTCGGTGAGACCGACCGGCGCTTGACGCGTCTTCCAAGTGAGAAGCGTAGAGGCCGGCTTTGTGCCCTTTGAAGATGACGGCGGCAGACAAAAGGGAAAAAAGGGGGAAAGGGAGGTCTATAATTTGCAGCAAAGTCACTTGCAAGACCGACCACTCACCGACGCCTGTTACCCACAAAGCCCGACGTGTCAGATTTCTCTAGCGACCGAAAAGCCGGGGGCAGCCCGCAAACCCTGAGCAGCGCGGCTCTAGAGGCTCGCCCTGGCGCTAATCGTCATGCCAGCCATCATGATCGATGGGTTCGGGACGCTTCTGAGGCTCCAATAGAAGAGGGAGGGGAGAGCCTGACATTTGACTCCTTCCATCCTCCAGCATGGAGGGGTGTGTAAGAAAGAAATTCCCAACGTTTCGGTTCCTTTTCCCCGGAGGCCCAGCTTTTAGTCTGGTTCGTCCAGTCACATCTGACTGGTAGGGTACCCGATGCTACACACCCACCCCCAGCCCATCCAAAAGGATGCAATTCGTGGCGTTCACGTTCCCACAAAATGCACCTCCCGCAGGGCGATGCATCCGTATGGCCAAAAAGAGTGGGTGGGTGAGAGGGAGTGACTGTTGGAGAGAATCAGAGAGGACGTAAGGATTCGGATGCCGAGTCTGGCCCCCAAACTCGAGGAAACCTGATTTCCTCCTCCCTTTTACACTTTGCGAGCGACGGCCTTCCGTTGGTGGTGGCACAGCGTGCCCCGAACAGAGGCCGAGGTGCTTAGCATAGCGCTGTCAGCGCTAGTACGAGTTGGACACCGGCCGGTCCTGCAGCTGGTCTGGTTGGATGATAGGGTGATAACGCTGAGCGGGTTGAGACGCACTGCCCACCAACGGTTCTGCGGCTGAAGGTGGTCAAACACACTTACACATGGATGGGCATGCGCGCGAGCGCGCGGCGCTATAGGTTGATTCGGTCTGTTCGGTCCAGGCGGGGACTGTGCCGCAAAGGATACGGAAGAGACGTAGAGGCTGTACACTAGCCGGTCCTGAATAGACGGAATCGCATGTCCGGGCTCTTATCGAGATGGCTTTCGTGGAAAGTACACGTCTCTGCCGTCTGCCGTGGTGCGTTGCGTGATGCGGCTCCCAACGAAGCCATACATCCGGGATCATGACGACATCCGCAGAGGATGTCTCACCTCACCGAGTTTGGTCAGAAGTGGAAGAGAAAAATGAAGGGGTCGAGGGATGGATTCTCGCCACGGCGCTCTGCGGCCCGTGGCTTATGGGGGAGTTTCCCATTCTGGCCGTAGTCTTCCGTTGTTGCATGCTAGCTGCACCATTTGGTCTCGTGTTCGGGGCACGGGAATAAGCCATCGTTCTTTCATCTCAACCCGGTTGCGCAAGCTTCTCGGATGGGACCATCAAAGCCCGTTTGCCCTTCATATGCTATTTTCAAAGATGCCTTGTCGACATGGGATCTATCGGGGCACATCGTGGCTGAACTTGAAGTTGTGCGGTCTGCGAAGGAGAAGCCGTAGACTGCGGATGCGCGTCAACGAGGTGGATGGGTTGAAGCCGTAGACTGGCAAACCGAGCTAGCATTGGAGCGGTTCTGGGGTTATTAAGAGGAGGGGAACACTATGACGGATAAGAAGTCGTCATCGCGGCGGCAGGAAATCGGATCCGGTCGGGTTTCTTGGTTCACGACTGGACGGCCATCCGAGACGGCCTCGTCAGCCGCCCCGTGACGGAACGTGACGGAAGATGAAGCAGCATATCTGGCAGTGCTCCAAATCGTGGTACTTGTCGTGGCCATCCCCACCGAGACCCGGACGGCGACGGCGAGCGGGTCCCGGATACAGGTGGGGCCGTGTGTTTCCCGCAATATCGGAGTCGGAGCTGGTCAAGCCAGTCCGACCACCGGGCCAGGCCTTACGAAAATTACATACTACAATGCCTCCCCTGCCTGGGTCGATGTATGGCGAATCAATGCGTTGCCGCCCATCCACGGACGGAAATGACGGAGGGGCTACGACGGCAATGTCGTGAAAGAGCAAGCTCCGTGAAATTCAGGATAATACCGGCAAAGGTTACGGGCTCTGCAGATAGTCCAGATGGTTGTATAGAGGGGTATACTGCTCCTTGTTGACTGCCGCGTCTCATGGCTGGGGATCAACGTGTCCAATATATCATTATTGAGGGGCACAGGTGGGATTGTGTCACGGCGAGGGACGTCTGCTGAGTCGTGCGCGGTGTTGTGGCACCGCTGGCTTCTCTCCATTGGGTGTCGGATCGGCGCTGTCAATGGCCAACTGAGTGCATGGCGGTTGCCGACCAGATGTTTCCCCGGCAATAAAGCCAAGGATAGTTGAGATGGCTGGGTTCAGCGCTGCTGCGCTGCTGCTGACTACCTAGGTACCATTGCTGTCGACTGCGCGAGCGAAGGGGAATCAGGGTCTTCCTTAGGAGACCCCGAAGGAGCAAGCTGAAGCCCAGCTTGGAGGTTGACGGACTGGGCGGGTACATCTACCTAGGCAGGTACCCCACCAACAGCACTACCGACGACGACTAAGGTACCCAAACCACAGGGCGACAGGGCGACGGGTGCCACTGGAGGTATGTGCGCCGGCCGCTGCGGAGCTTGTGATAGGACAGCGGGAGCTCTGGGAAGCCTGCGCCCCCGCTCCCCACTGCAAGCTAAGCCATACGCCATCGTACAAAGTACAAAGCCCGCAGCTGCTGAAAACAAGCGCCGAGTGATACGAGGGAAGGTAAAGGAAGGGAAGGCCTTTGCAATACAATCTATCAGGGAAACTATATTTTCCTCTTTCTCTCTATTCCGTCCCATAACAAGAAAAGTATCTCCATCTTGCCGAACCAACGTCTTTCTCATCGTCGTTGCTAGTTCCATCTCCGTCTGCATCCGACGCTTGTTTTCGCTGCCTGCCTATAGGATCACAACCCGACAAAAATCCTATATCTCCTCCCCTCCCGGGCTGAGGTGAGCTTTGCTTCTTTGCTACGTCATATCGTTAACGTTCGTTCATTTTGACCATCACAAACGGTCAGCACACAAAATTGACCTCATCCTCACGCAATCTTGTCCCCTATCTTTCTCTTCCCCTCAACTATTACTATAACTATTTGTGACGCTAAAAAAAAAAAAAAAACCCCCATTTGAGCAATCATGGAGTCTTTCGGAGCTCTCAAGCGTCGGACGACCGAGATCCTGCAATCCCTGCCCCAGAACCTCCCCGCCATGCCCAACATGCCCAGCGTGAAAAGGCCATCTCTATCGAGCGGCGCAGGCCCCAAGACTATGAAGGCCACCTGGGAGCGGATCGACGTGCCGGCCCTCGCCCGTTCGTCCCACACTGTCAACGTCGTCAACGGCACTGCCTACGTCTTCGGCGGCGAGATCAACCCCCGGGAGCCGGTCGACAACGACGTCCACGTCATCAGGCTGCCGTATAATAGTGCTGGCGCCGACTACTACAAGATCAAGTCCGCTCCTACGAAACAATACACTCCGCCTGTCGAAAAAAAGACCGATGAGACGGTGCAAGAGACGGCCGAAGCTCCGGACCTCGCGGAGGAGGCCGCGCAGAAGGAGCAGCTTCTCGACGAGGTCCCCCTTGCCTCTCCGGGCATTGAGGGCGGAAATGACTCTCCCGTTGGGGAAGAAGGCGCATCGTCGGGGATTGCTTTGGACAAAGGAAAAGGCCCCGCTCTTCCCGAGGCTCCTTCCCTCGGTGACGTTCCAGCTCCCCGTGTTGGTCATGCCACCGCTGTCATCGGCAGTCGTATCTTCCTCTTTGGAGGTCGCGGAGGGCCCGATATGCAACCTCTCGAAGAAAAGGGTCGAGTCTGGGTCTTTGACACTCGAACCAACACTTGGTCCTTCCTCGATCCCGTGCCGCCCGCACCTGGAGTCACCATTCTGCCAATACCATCACCGCGCAGTTACCACTCAGCTGCCGCGACTGACCGCCCGCGCGACTTCGCTCCCAAGCACGCGCGTGGTAAGCAGACCTGGAGGGCATGGGCCCAAGGAGACAGCGCCGAGGTCGGCATCCCTCAAGCTCCCATCGTTGGTCACGCTGCCGCCAATGCCACTGACGAAGAGGATGACGGATACGGCACTTTCTTCGTGCACGCTGGCTGCCTCGCCGGCGGTGAGCGCACCAGTGATCTTTGGGCTTTTGATGTCCGATCCCGCGTCTGGAGCCAGCTGCCTTCGGCACCCGGTCCGGCGCGCGGTGGCGCCGCCATTACCATCAGCAAGAGCCGCCTGTTTCGCTTCGGCGGCTTTGATGGCAAGGGTGAGATTGGCGGACAACTTGACTTCATCCACCTCGAGATGGACACGTTCGACGACGGCGTTTCCAAGGGCGAAATTGCCGTCCACGGCCGCGGCGGCTGGCAGAGCATCGTCCAGGGCGCCAATTCTGGCGAGCAAGAAATCCACCTCATTCCGGGTCAGGCATGGCCTGGAAATAGGAGCGTAGCGGGACTAGAGGCTGTCACTGTCGGCGGCGGTCGCGAGTACCTGCTGCTCATTATGGGTGAGCGTGAACCCAGCTCGGATGGTCACTCCGGCGCTGGCGCCATGTGGGATGACGTGTGGGCGTTCCAGGTCCCGCCTCTCGGCATGACCGCCGCCA